ATCACTTAATAAACAATCACTAACTACAATAAAGGTGAAGATTACTTAGAGACAGACCTATTCCTCTTTTTAGAGATGACTATTAAACACACCAAAAACAGATGACCCCAGCTGGCCATGAAGACTTACCATCCAATTAGGCCATTTTCCTTCTGGCATATTTTCCATCCAGGATGTGATAACTTTAGACACATTGTTTCCAGGAGGTGAGCCTAGCATGCTGAGATAACTGTTGAAGGGAAAATCTGCTTCTTGGATAAAAGGCAACCCATAGTACATCATGGTCTTGTCAATGCTCTCTCCATAGGCTTCAGTCCCCATGAACCTGTAAGAGTTGGCAGGTGCAATGTCTTCAGGGTCTCTCAGAAGACTGAGAAAGTGCTACATTAGCTGCTTATCTCTGTGTGACAAGGTGGGTCACCTGGACAACTTCACTGAAATAAACCCAAACACTCGGCTTATAGTAGGCCATGTCTAAGAGTTAAGAAATGCATTTGGATCTCAATCCACTATTGGTCTTTCTAAATCAGATTAAAATGTAGTGAGCTCCATGGTTGGGAGGAATAATCTAGAGATGATTTACTATACTTGCACATCCTATTGTTACCTGTATCTCCCAGGCTCCCTGCTATACTGGTCCAAGGTCTGCCGGAAGCTGCGGACCATGTCATGCATCCCCACCTGTGTGGTGGTGAAGTCGTGGTACAGCTCCGAGTACTGTGTGACTGTGCCCTTTGAAAACAGGACAGCAAGGTTATCCATTTCACAGGTCAAATGCACCCCACCCTTGGCCTTATGTGAATATTGAATCTTCCGTGGGCCCAAGCATAACACAGGCTCACAAATGGCCTAGGGTTCAAGGCAGGTTGTGAATGGAGAACGTTCAGGCTAATGTGATGCTTAGTTGTTGACCATAAAGATAGAAACAAATATGTACTACTAAACGTCTAAGTATTCGTTATAAAGGTATTTAACAAAATTATCCTTCTAAACATGCAATTGTCCCTCATGTATTCCCAAAGGCAAAAATAAACAACTCAATATTATGTAGCTCACTATTACATCAGCTTTCTCCGCTCAAAAAAGTATTAATATCATACATTAAAATTTGTTTCTTTACCAGCTCTTTTATTCTGTTATACTTTCCCAGGGTTTTGGGTCATTTTTCCTGATGCTCATTCTGTGCCTTCCTAAAGGATATAGTAATCTAGACCCCAAAGTGAAAAGACCGTCTAACATAAGCCATGGTTGTGAGCCATGGTTAAGGGCGATGCAAATGCAAGTTGCCACCCATTCAGTGGACACTATTTTTTTTTTCATAAGGGTGCATCCCTTCCTAGATCAAATTACTTTTTAAGTCTTAAGTCTCTTCCTGAAACCACATATTTGTGGGCTTTTCCTTGAGTAGCTCACAAAACCCCTTGTTCTGGTCATTTGTCAGGCAGGAAACCGCCTCATCTTCTGACACCTCATTATAATTAGCAAGGTTATTTTGAGGTTTCCTCTCCAAAGAGGAAGCGCTGCTCTGTGGGACAACTATTAATCATGCATCACCATGTTTCCCCCTTTGTGCTCTCTTTTATTGGAAAGCATTTGCAAAAGGAAAAAAAAAAGTATAATCATAACCTTTGGTACATGCTATGCTGTCACAATTAGCCTGTGTGTGGGCAGCTTCTCTTCAGTTAGTTAATAGATTTACTTCAGTGAAGTTGTTAGTACCCATATCTATCCATATCTATATTCCTCAGAAGTCTGGAAATAAACTAACCATATGAATTCCACTTAATGTGTTTATCTTTATCTCTAGGGCATCCTGATATATATAACTACAAGTAATTTTAGATCACCTTGCTAAGACTCATCGTGCTATGTGTCACTATAATTAATTTATTTTGACATTTTATTGTGGAAATATACAAATCCACTCTTGTGAACTTATTTACATGACAGTCTACATGGCCATTGAAGAGTGTCAACCAGTGAGATAGAGTGGCATTGGTCACTGTCACATGTGACCAGGAAAGGTTGAGGACCACAGTGCGGAACTATGGAGAACCAGACTTTGTAAAGACTCATTCTGTCATTCTGTTTACCTCATGTCCCTGATAATTTTCCAAGATTTGCTAAATGGGGAACATGATAGCACTCATAAGATGCAGAGCAAGTTAGATGAAATATCCTAAGCAAACAGCACAAGCTTACAGCAGACACACTCTAGCATTCGTTCCCTTCTCTCCCACCAATGTGGCCTCATTACTATAAAGCACAGAAGGTGTTAGGCCTCCTCGTTTGAGCTTGAGTGAGACCACAGACTCCTAGTATGTAGCTGTGGCCTATGACAGAGTCCAAAACCGCTACAAAGCTTTGTCACTGAAGGACTCTTTCAGGGGTCTTTTGTTCCACAGGAAACCAATGGAAGGGAACATTTGGGCATTGGTATTTGAACCCCCTATTTTTTCTACCAAAAATTATTCAAATTACTTTGTATAGATAGGACAGAGCTCACCCCTGGTAACTGGTCTTAGGCTAAAGAAGAAAGCACTTGATGACATTTTCAGGAAATAGAAAAACGTATGTTTAAAACAGAACTTTACCGGGGCTTGGTTCTTATTCACTTGGATCTCGTCTCTCAGATGTTTTTCTTCCAGAAGAAATTTAACAGCATTGAAACTAAAACCATCCACGCCCTTTGCAAGCCAGAACTGTATAAGTTCCTAAACATGAAAAAAGCAAAATGCTTCGTTACATTGGTCACATTATCATAATATTTAACAAAGGTTTTGCCTGTGAATGACTTTCCATCATAAAAATAACCATCGCAAAATACAAAATCAGCAGGACTATCAGAGTACCTTTATCTATTCAGCATAGCTGTGTCATATAGAAATAAACTCTCAGTAACTGCATTCATGGATTGCCATTCTTCCTGTGTTTGAAGTCAAGAATGCTACACTGGGGTTGATGTTTCCAAAGTTTAAAGAATCTGCTCAAAATGAGTGAATGAAACCAGCAGGAATGGTAGGACTCAGGAGAAACTCGTCATTTCCTCCATGCCCACATCTTTAAAAGCCATACTGAACAGAGAGAAAATCACCAGTGAAGTCGTCATTCATGAAGGTTCTTCCATCAGACTGGGAGGTTCTCGTGAGAGAGACCTCAGCTTTCACCAATGTTTGCCTTGCCTCTGACACAGCATTTGGTGCTTAGTGAGCCACTCACAGAATGAAAGAATGAAGCATTGAGCCCAAATGAGTCAAACATGGGGTGATAATGTTGAGAACTAGAGAAGTACAGCATGTTCCCTGGCTTTGAGCATCTACAGAATAGCTGGTGACACATGAGACATGAGATTACCTAATAATGCAATGCAGGACACAGTTCAACATCATGAAACAAATTCCTCTGTCTGCGAGGCTGTCGGTGCTCCAAGATCAAATTTATCAAGGGTGGGCATAGCCAAAGAAGGAAAAGCTAAAGCTTGAACTTGGCCTTGAACTTGAATCCCTGGTGGGATTTCATCAGGGAGTGAGACTGGAAAGAACTTACTGGACTGTGTTGTGGGACAGCCTGACCCAAGCATGGAGGCAGAGGCTGACTTGTCCTATTTTGGGGCATTTGAGGAGACCAGAGGTCCTGAAAAACAAAGGGTCTGAATCTCCATTCTTGATTGCACTCCCGGCCAACCCCTCTAGCTGGGCCGACTCCTGTAGCAAGCACTAGCTGCCCTTCTGCAAAGGGACATGGCTCCTCTCCCCTTTTTTCTGAGCTCGCCCCCGGAAGATTCAGAGGCCATGCAGGAGTGTATGTGGGAGCAGATGCGCCCACAAACCACACTTCCTGAGTTAAAGAGCCAGATTTCACCTACTGAGGGGAACAAAATCTTAGCTCCCAAATTGACACGAGCTATGCAACCTCTGTCGTCAGACAGGGTCCAGATGGAGGGGAATTGCTCTGAAAAATCAGACTTTCCACGCTAACTCATGTTATGACCTCCCTTTTTTGTATAACC